GCGATCTGTGCTTCTTTCTAGATATAGGTATATTGAAATACAGCCGAGAGATTTGTCAGTTGTACGATCGGGATAATTTAGAGACCGTTGGCTCGGCAACTGTTTTATACATTTCGTCCATTTTCTCATTTCAGAGTCCTCATTACAGAAGAATGATAAAATTAATAAAAAATCTAGAATACTGACCGCGGTTCACGACGGGATTCTGTGTCATCCGTGCATAATGTCGTTACACTTCATCGGCATCCGACAATAGAGAGAGAACGGTAGAACCGTCACGAAATCACGACAGAGTTCTTATGACGCACGAAATAGCGGTAGAACAAGGGGGTCTTTCGTGATTCGGTGTCATAGACGCTTTCTACGAAGTGTAACGCGGAGTATCATCTCGGCGCAGGTACACGGTAAAAGCTAGCTCGCAAAAGCTAAATGATCGTCGCACGAACTCGCTATTGTCTCGCCGTGTACGGCTGAAGTGTCGATTGACAGCGAAAAATGAGTACACGGGCAGCCGTGCAAAGTAACGCGAACATCTTTTCCGGTACATTCATGCACGAGGCAGCAAAGTAGTAATGCTTTAAAAAGGAAGATTGGAAATAATTTTCTTTAAATATATTCAACATTTTTTAGAACAAATTAGAATTATGTGTTATTATAATTTTTATTTAATTTTTATTTAGAATTATAATCTATTTATATAAATATATAACTGTGCAAAGCTATAGATAATTTTGATGAAAATACTGTTTGTGTGCATGTGCGTAGACTGCAGATTTTATTTCCGAGCTCGAATTTCATGTTTCTAATTTCATTAAACGGTCACGATGCTTGTATCGATCGCTAAAATGCGGAAGTTTCATCTGTGAATCGATCGCATTACCGCTAATATCGTAATTTAATTAATCATCGATATTGAACTCCATGGTTGTCATATTCTCCATGAATTGTGAAATAGTAATCATACAACCGACGCAGTCATCCGCGACTGGCTGACTGGTCCATTGCATGAGTCATTTTCATCGACAAGACGAGTTGGATCTTTTAGATACTGATGGGCGGATTGATTTATCACAAAGTCTTACCGAGATCGCGATCGGTTCAAATGGCTTTCGATACGATCGTGAGGATTGAACAGCCACTACGATAACCGTAGCTAATGCATTGAAAACTGATTAAATTTTGTTTTCCTGTTGTATTAAGTTGTATTCTATTGGCCTATCGACAGACGCAGTTAAGAGATAGAAAATAAAATGCATTATATATAATGGTTCAATAAAACAATTCGTTACTAAAAAATAGCGACAAATAATATATTAGGTAATATATTAGTCTATTACATGTAAACCATTTTACAATTACTCTTGTTGTTATCTAGAACTTGTTTATTATATTGTCAGCTTTAAATTTTAACGCTATGTCCAATATTTGACACTCATAATATGTTTCCGGAGACAATTTTAAACTTCGTCAGACTGTCCCAGGAAAAAGTGTGATGATTTTATTGCAACTTTACCTTCGATCTCAGAGACGTTCCTTAATGGACTAATTATCTCGCCGCATCTCGCGATAGATCGATGCGATAGAACGCGCACGGGAACGAAGGAGGACACGACGAAGAGCAAGGAGATGCCTCTCTAGTTACGATTCTGTCATTACTGTTGAATCGCAGCAATGAAACGACAGCGCCCAGCATGTCCGTCTCGCATCGTTCGATTCAAACGTCGAGATACAAGAGCCATTCGCTATCCTGCTTCATCTTTTTCTTCGCCGTTCTCTTTCCTCCGCCTCCTCGTCCTGTTCTCTCTGATTCTCTCTTCCTCTTTTCGCGCTTCTCTCTTCCACGTGGAATAGATTCAGTCCAGAATTATTCGCTGTGGCTCTCTTTCTCTCTCTCTCTTGTTCTCTCTTCGTCTCCCTTCGTCTCTGCCTTGTGTGGTTTTATCGCTTCGAGAAATCGACTGCGGACTCGGCACTAAATTACCGGGTGGCACCGTGTACGCGACCGTGATAGACGCGCCAACACCTAACGCCAGTCACGCCGGGCCTCGCCATTGTGACGCGTTATCCAACAGTGGTCGTGGCCGCAAAGTGCAGCGACTCTGCCTCGGATCACGGCGATTTCGCGAGATCGGATACCGGTAACAGACCGTACATCGGCTGAGGATCGTGCATCGAGATCCACCGTGGAACGCTTCCAGATCTCGTGCGCGCTTATCGCACGTTCTCTACCTCGCGAGCGTTCTCCACCTTGTTCCTAATCTAGAAATTCGCTTTCCACTTTGAGTAGGGCTTGCATTACCTCGTTCGAGATAACTACGGTTTACGCCTATAAACAGACGATACGCTAATATCTGTATTGTTTTAAAAATGTTTACTGAAGATAGGATTTAAGGCGGATTTAAGTCCTATTAGGGAAGATTAATTTAACCAACGATTAATTTGTCAACAAATAAATAGCGTAATGACTTATAAACATCGCATTATAAACTCTTTCTGATTATTTGTTTTGATGTCGAATAAAAAAAGAAGCAATTGTATATGATATTCTTTCATAAGAAAATGTGTAGTATATTATAGATCTAGAAACTTTTGATTTATGAAAGATCTGATAAATGTTCCGATGTAATCAACAACCACGCGTTTCCTCGCCAGTTCAATGTTAAGTTCAATTTCAGCAATTTACAATTTTCACGTATATTGTCGCGGAACCAGGAACAAGAAGATTACGCGACGCGCTCTCGAATGAACCGTCTATCAATCATCCCGCGACAAACGGCAGATATTTCTCGAGTGCCCAATGATGGTACCTCTCCATTCGCGGACAGGGACTCGTACGTCGCGAATCGAGCGTAACTGCATAATCCACGCTCGTAAAGCGCGCTGTTATAGCCGCGGGGCATACTCGCGCGAGCCGGGCTCTCGCGTTGCATCATAGCCATTGCAATGTTTCCCGTCGGCGTCGCGTCGTCTAGTCGAGGCTCGACTTATGCTAACGAGGCTCGCGACCGTCCGCGCCGATTGCCAGCTATTTAAAAATAAGCGTGACAGGCCGCGGCGAGGGTATTATTAAGCGGCGAGAGACTCGCGCGCGGTCACCCGGTACCTTAATTCCCGGCTACAACGTCGCGATCGACGAGCATCCCCTCGAGGCACCTCGCACGCCCCGCGGGTCAAGGCAAGCCGGGCGTGCGTGGCGTGGATGCGTGCATGTGCGTGCAATGGCGTCGGGACAGGTGGACGGAACGGTAATCTGGTATAACGAATTTCATCAAGCTGCTCGATAAGAGTATACGCCTTCAGGAAATAGTGTCTCAGATATTCGTGAAAGCTACGTCTACTGTAAATGTTGTAAAAAAAATAGATATTTCGTAACATTATAACTATACGTTATTAAACTTTGCTTCTCTGAAATAGTAAACTCCTTAAAAGTGCACTGAATTGATTATTTAAATGTTATCGTATTGGGCACATGATTTTCTCTCTCTCTTAAATGATTCTCTCTCTCCTATCATTACAAATCGTAACATATCTAGAATGCACTGTTATTAAATATTATTAAGAAAAATGAAATAACGGATAAAATGTACTAGTCTCCGCAAAATTAGAAAGAAATAATTTAATGATTAAACGAACTTACCTGTAAGTGAAGTTCTATCATAATTGTATGAAGCGCCTCTTCCGAAAGATAATACGTAGTAGTCCCTACTCTATGCCGAGGCGCCACAGTCTTTACAGCTAAAACAAAACGTTTTTCCCCCTCCTAGGGGACTTCTCTCGTGTTCGCGCCCATTGCGTCATTTTTTTTCAAAGTTCAGCCGTAGCCCTAAAAGTTACGGGATCCGAAATTGTCGGATATGGGTATAGGGAGGGACCCATCTTTCGGAAGAGGCGCTTCATACAATTATGATAGAACTTCACTTACAGGTAAGTTCGTTTAATCATTAAATTGTATTTCGCGCCTCTTCCTCAAGATAATACGTAGATGTTGAAAGTTGGCTACGGTTGTGAAATTATAAAATATATATGTTTGTCACAGATAATAAGGAATATCAAACAGTTTTATTTAACTTTTTCTTACTTATCTAATATCGCTTGCCCAAATACTCTTAAGTCCTGAACGATGGGTCTATCATAGAATTTTGTGAAAGTGGCTGATCTTTCTGTCCAACCCGCTGATTTTCTTATTACATCAATGTTAATACCTTTGCGTTTCGCCGCGGACGTAGACGCATGTCTAGTACTATGCGCTGAGAAAATATCTGTGTCTATGCCACTTTCCTGTAAAACATCTTTTACCCATCGGCTAAGCGTCTGGGTTGATGCTTTCTTAAACGGTTTTTTAAATGAAATAAATAAACTCGTTATATCTTTTCTAAGCTCTTTTGTCCTTTTGAGATAACATTGTAGCGTATTAACTGGGCAAATGTTCAAATTTTCCTTGTAACAAGGCAAAGTTAACACCGGTTGATATTTTCCGGGTTTAGAGGTTTTTATTCTCTCCGGAATCTTAATTTCTATCAAGTTCTCTTTGGTAACTATATTTCTTACATCAATTGATGACAAAGTTTGAATTCTTTGCCCAGTTACTAACGCTAATAACGATACTAATTTTTTACTTAACTTATCTAAGGCTAAGTCCTCGTTTCGTAAGTCTCTGAAATAATCAAGAACTAAACTTGGATCCCACGTAGAATCATATTTAGGCTTCGGAGGTCTTAATTTTGACAATCCTTTGAAAAACCGTTTAATAACCTCATTTTGTCCTACTTCTGAGCCCAAGATAAGAGAAATAGCAGATCGCATGCCGTTAAGGGATCCGTAAGATGCCCCGTTGTCAAATTCTATAGTTAAAAACTTAACGATGTCTGATACTTCAGCATCGTAAAAGGATAAACTCTTATCTTTACAAAATATCCACCATTTTTTCAATGCGCAGTTATATTGCTTAAAGGTAGATTCGCTTAAGGAAGCCATAGTAATTGTTATGGATTCCTTTGGAACGCCTCTTAACAGGAAGGCTTCCCTGATAACTTCCCGGCCACCAGGGTAAGAGACTTCCAAAGCGGATGTGGCTCCCTATCGGGTGAAAGTAAGGTATTACTATCGGCCTTAAATGTCAAAACCTCCGATTCCAGCATTGAAAGGAACAAGGGAAACCACGGCTGTGCTGGCCATTGTGGTACCACAACTATACCTTCTGCTCCTTCCGATCTAATTTTCTGTAAGACTCTAGTAACCAGTATAAATGGTGGAAAAGCATAAAAGAAGGATTTATTCCAGTTTATAGTAAAAGCATCGATCGCTATTGAACCTGGATCCCTTGTCCAGGATACATAATCTTTACATTTTGCGTTAATTCTAGTAGCAAACAAGTCTATGTCCGGATAACCAAATTTACTAGTGATTTTCCGAAAAGCTACATCCGACAATTCGAATTCCGTTTCTTTATCCAATCTTCTGGATTCAAAATCTGCTTCAGTGTTATTCTTTGAAGCAATATATGATGCGAAAATGAACAATTCACGTTCTTCACACCATTTCCAAATGGTCTTCGCAAGATCACTGAGTTTTTTGAATCTTATACTACCCATACGATTTATATAAGAAATCGCTGTAGTGTTGTCGATTCTTAACAGAATATTGCAATTTTGAAGATCTTTGGCGAAACATTTGAGTCCAAAGAAGGCTGATAAAAGCTCTAAGTAATTAATGTGGTGTAGCCTTTCGGATTCACTCCAGAAACCATGAGCTCTATTGTTGTTGCACGAAACTCCCCAACCCGTGAGGGAAGCGTCTGAAAAGATAACCAAACTGAATTCACGACTAGAAATTGACGAGACTCTGTGTAAAATATTTGATTCCCACCAAGAGAAATCATCTTGTAAAGTTTGACTCAATTGCATATTCACATCATAATTGCCATTTGACTTTAAAAGAGCTAAGTATTTTTCCCTTTCGAGATTTTTGATATGTGCCCAACTGTATTGGATGGCTGGACAACACGATACCAAGGATCCTATCAACTGAGCAAAATCTCTAATTTTGCATTTTTTCAATTTTTTAAAAATGTTGATCTGATCGCGAACCTTGTATCTTTTTTCTAGTGGCAATTCTAACGTCATTTTTTGTGAATTTAAAATAAAACCAAGAAATTTACGGGCTTGTGCTGGAATTTTACGACTCTTATTTTCGTTAATAATAAAACCTAGACTTTTTAACACATTTAGAGATTCCTTTATGTTCTTTAAACAATCCGAATACGTGTTTCCAAACAGTAACAGATCATCCAGATAAACAACCGACAAAAATCCTAAGTTTCTCAGATAAGCTACTACTGGCTTCATGATTTTCGTAAAAATATATGGAGCCGTGTTGAGGCCAAAGGGTAAGCAATTAAATTCATAGAGATTGCCATCAAACAAAAATCTTAAATATTTTTTATAATTTTTGTTAATTGGGATCATATAATACGCATCTTTAAGATCCAATTTACCCATAAAACAATTGCGACTTATTAATTTACAAGCTACTTTATAATCCTCCATTTTAAAATGGTCTATTTCAATAAATTCATTTAATTTTTTAAGATTAAGAATCAATCTACTTGAACCATCTGGCTTTGGAATTAAAAAGATACCCGATACAAATTGCCCTTTCTGTGGATGGCACCTACTAATAACTCCTTTGGAAATTAACTGATCTATGTGTTCCTTAACCTGAATTTTTTCTTTTAGTGACCATGAAGGTTCTGTAGGGATTGTATTTTGAAATACTAATTCTGCAAAGGGAATTTTATAACCTTTTATCCAATCTAAAACTCTGGAATCGGAAGTTAAGTCTTTCCACTTATTCAGGTAATTTTTTAACCTGCCAGCTGATCTACTTACATCCCTTAAAGCTAAGCTTTTTTCTGTTGTGCTGGGGTTTGTGATTGGGGATTGTGGTCTCCCGTGTTCTGAGTTCCCCAGTTCTTCTTGTTGGACTGATTTTGATTGTAAAATTTGTTCCGGAACCCGCCCGACGTCCTGGGCTTGAAAGGCTGACGACGAGGCGGAGTCTTGAAGTTTTTTGGCTTCTTAGAGATTTTAGGTTTTGCTTTCAGGTCCTTTCCCGATCGTTCGATTGTCTTTGCCGCCTTAAGACGCTCATCCAATTTTTGGCCAAAAAGCCATTCATCAGCTGTTGATGATTCCAATACTTCCTTCTGTGAGCTATTAATCGTAGCAAGAATTAGACTTCTGCGAGTCAGGGTTTCATCTCTCTGCAGATCTGCCAACAACCGTGCTGCTTCACTGAGCTTTTTAACTAAGGCAATTTGCGCTGGTGGCAATATCGAAGTTCCTTTATCCGCCTTGCTATTGTTGATAACATCAACTATGGAGCTACCCATCAAGGCGAGACAAGCAGTAATTTTCTTTTGTTTATCGACGATTCGATCATCTCGTTTTCTTGACGGTTCCGCTATAGAAACTTTAACCTCTTCATTTAGTTTAGGAGGATCAATCAAGACGCAATTTTTTGGTGGTGCATGTTCCTTGATTAGCTTTTCTCTTTCCTCCTTTGGAAGACCTTTCTTCAAAATGTCTTCCAGCCGAACAGCGATACTTTTAGGAATAGCTGGGGCCAGCACTCTGTCTTCTGCAACTCGTTTGCCGATTACATCCAAAATTTCCTCATCCAGGTCTTCAATAATGAGTTCATTCTCTTGCCCAGAAGCCTCAGTTTTTTGGGCATTTAAAGAAGATGAATCTCCTCCTGGCTTTACTGTCGGTTGATGTTCAATAGAAGCCTCTGCCGGTGCTGTGGAAGTACCAACGGGCGGATCATGAGAATGATTCGAGGTCGATGCGACCTCGCCGCCCAACGCAACTTCTATTGTATCCACAGTGAGCCCCTCGTCAATCGAGGGCGATCGTTGATCATCATCCGACGGGATAAATGGAGAATCGGGTGGAGTTCGTGAAGGGCTTTGTGACAGATTTCTCCTGTCTCTGCCACTGGATGATTTCTGCCGTTTATGATCACCATCCTCTAATCTCGAATCACGGTCTCCTAATAAATCACATTTCTTTTAGGACCGTTTTATATATGTGTACAACACACATTCACATAAATATATATATATATATATAAATATATATATATAAATATATGTATATACATGTATATATGTATATACATATTAAACACATACATGCATTACTTGGAGATCCCGTCTCAAGTAAGACCGCTTGTCTTAAAGCGTATACACTGAGGTTCATTACGTCATTCATCATAAAATGAAATCGCCACTAACTTAGAGTCTGCGGCCTGTCAATAGGTTAGGGCCTATGACACGATAGTGTGTATCTAATATGTATTTAACGGTTTATACACCGCGGTACATTGTGCCTCTCGTCCTGAGACAAAGCTCGCCATTAGGTTAGCGCCTGTGGCTCGTCAATAGGTTAGAGCCTATGACGTGACGAGTGTGTAGCCAATACGTGTATTATCTATACGTCAGGAGACTCAGTCTCCGCAAACGATAAAATCGTTTGCCTTGCGGCGTACACGAGGCATTCGTCGTATGCTAAAACTTGCCACCAGGTTAGAGCCTGTGACTCGTTCATAGGTTAGAGCCTATGACGCGACGAATGTGTACCAAGAGATATGCATAAAAACATTATCGTCCGACCACTCCTTACGAGGCGGAATAGAAAAGATGGCAATCGAGTTTTCGATTAACCTAATTTATTACTTACGTGCCCGTCTCTTCCGTATTCGATCCTCAAGCTTTTTAAGATCTCTCGACAGGCGTTTCATCTTTTTAGTTATCCTATTTTCCTTAGATTCATCGTCCGAATCTGATCTCCTGTATTTTCTTTTTCCCATTTTACTAATGGCGATGTGACTATCTCGGCACAAGAATAAAGAATGACGCAATGGGCGCGAACACGAGAGAAGTCCCCTAGGAGGGGGAAAAACGTTTTGTTTTAGCTGTAAAGACTGTGGCGCCTCGGCATAGAGTAGGGACTACTACGTATTATCTTGAGGAAGAGGCGCGAAATACAATTGATACTTTCATACTTATACCTGATAGATACATAAGTATGATAATATATATGAAATTCTTTATTACAGCTTTTTCTTACTTTGATAGTTTTTGTCTCTTTTGAGTGTTATTATGAAGTGTTGAGTGTTTTATGTTTAAAATTAGACCCCACTAAAATAAAATAATTAAAAAATTGCAAAGTTTCTAACTTCAGTCTGATAAATCTCCGAACGCAAGAAACACACACGTGTCTTTTTTAATCACATATCGTCAGTCACGTATTGAAAGCCACCTGCATTCTTTCGAATCCTATCGAGAATGACATAATTGACCGTAGACAATCGGGCCTTTCCATCTATACCGTACATTCGACACGTTAGGCATTCGACTAAGGCTTTCATCGACTCGACCCGAATCTTCGATCTTTTCAATCCTATCGGCCGATAACGTTAACGTGCGCGCCATTGCACGCGGCACGTCCGTGTCGTGTCCGTGTCGCGACAGGCGGACGTGTACGATTGCGTACGGGATTCCACGTGGGGACCCACGTACCACCTACACACGCCGTACATAGCAGCCACTTGACAGCTGTCACCTTCCACGCGGCCCCGACAAGACGCGCGGCGACTCTCTCGCCGGTGATTCATGCGCCACCGGGGGGGCACGAGGATCCGGCGACCTCCTGTCAGGGATTCCATCGTCGCATATCGCGCGCAGCGAGACATAGGTGACATCGCCGGCCGACGAGATTTTAATCGCGGACGCCATGGTGCGCGGAGAGCCTGGGGCCCCAAGACGGCCGATTTCGAAGCCGACTCAAATCACGCAAGTCGGATGTGACCGTTGCGCTCGCCGATCGCCATGTACCTACTTCTTGCGCGTGAGTTTAATCCTGGCGGCGCATCAGGTGAAATCATGCTGAGATGGAACAAAAGAATAGCTCTTGTAGATATAATTCAAAGTAAAAAAAATCCGCTAAGTAAACGGTTTTGTTCGAAATTGTGACAAATTTAAAAAAAATAATAAAAATAAAAATCTTTTACTCCACAAGGATAGATAAGGAGGAAGTATTAAAATAAAAAAGTAAATGTGACCGGATTCTCATAGAAATATGAAATAATGTTTCTTGATGCTTATTCGACAGTTTTTATTTTAAGAAATATTGATCGTCTACTTAAGATTGCGACAATTTATTATAACATGAATTTACAACACCGTGACTCGTTGCTTCGAATCGTATTCGGCTACTCGGAGCTTCAAGTTATTTTGATCGAGGTCTGATCTGTCAACGAAATTGGCGAAATCGGAATCAAAGCCACGTCCCGCGATCAGTCCATGCGAATTCAGTCCAGCGTGACTCGCCTGGGCGGCGGCGCATTAAAATCGCCGATACAATTGACTCACCATCAACCTGTCAGCGGGAGACATGCCGCGAGGGAAGAAGGTGAAAAGGTGAGAATGTGACCTCGCGACGGTATTCTGACGTACATACGTACGTATATAGAAACGCGGAGACGCACATCTCGTCGTCGTCGTCGGCTGGGCCCTCGTCAGCTAATGGAATTACTTTAACGCAATGACACAGCGATTACATAATTGCGGGGTTCTCCTCGAGAGCCGTCCGCTCTCGTTCACTCCGAGCGGGAGAGAGCGCCCGGGCCCATTACCGCACATCCGTGTTCGTTGCCTCGTCTCGCTCTTTCCCGCGTCTACTTTTGTGCCGCGGCTCCTCTCTCCCTCTCTCTCTCTCTCTCTCTCTCTTTCTTCTTTCGTTCGGCGCGAGCGAACACGCGCGCGTTCCGCCCCGACTCGTCGATTATCCTCGGGAGACAAATGACGCGGCCGCCAAAGAGTAATGAGCGCGAACGAAGCTGCCGGCGAGCACGTCTCGTCAAGAATTTCGCGCGCGTCCGCTCGTTGCTTTCGTTGTTTTCACGATTCATGGCGCCTTCGCTCCAAGATGTAGGTACAATACCTCCGCGTATAGGATTCGCCGAATTTCGCCGTTATCGGATATACCCAGGGACAATGGACGCCAATCGCGGCGTCGGAAGGATTATAATAGCTCCTTGATATTTACATGCCAATGTTGCAATACAGATATTTTAGTTAGCATTTTTGTTAAGGTCTTAAAAAGATAAATTTTTTAAAACGCAATTATATACATACATTTACACTGATCAGATATATGTATGGAAAAAACAAAATTAAAAATGCCGTAAATAGTTAATGTACTCGTAAGCGTAAAAATGAATATACAAAAATATGTAAAATAGTACGATTAAATATATTTTTATGAGTCTTTCTGTCCTGCTCGCAATAAAAGTTAACGAGATACGGGAAACTGGATCTCTGGATATTCGCGCGGGGGTCTCAACGTTACACGACGTTCACAGCTGTGTAACCCGCGACATAATAAGGTCGATAAAACGGTGGCGATGGACGGACACGAGAGGTAAAAGACTTGGCGCGGCGTGACGTCGGTCGTATCTGAAAACGACGACGCCGCGACTGCCGCATCCACATTTACGTTTACATATACGACAACATCGAAAGCCGTGAGACCATTATTGCTAAAGTTATCCTTAGTCTCGTGAATCTCTTTCTCTCTCTTTCTCTTCTGCGAAGAGCCGGAACGACAGCGCGGCGTTAATCACGCCACGTGGATGGCCACGTCGAGCGGTGGAGGCGCGGGTCTCGTCGATACATCAACGTCCGTTAAATCTCCCCTCCCGACCCCTTCCTCTCCCCAAACATTTAACGCGAGGGAAACGCGATTTATATAGGTCGCCAAACTCTCCGCTATTCTTCGCACAAACCGGTCGTTCCGAGATATTGTGGATTGTGGGAAGCGCTGCTCACACTCGCGGAGAAAGAATTAATTTTTTAGTGAATTTAGTTTTTAATTCCGCGGTCAAAAACGACTTTTATATTTACTCATGATTAGCGTAGATATACACTATATTTTTGCGCAGTGTCGTAAAAAGGAAAAAATATTCATTAATATTTATTAATCGAATCCTTGAGGAAATGTTAAATCTGGGGGGGAATTCACAACCCAAAATTTTGTACACCAATGCCGATTTTTGGCATTGCTGTAAAACACTGCCGACATTTTCGTACACTGCCGACAATGCTTAGTCAATACCTACAATGCCGTCAATCCTATATATAAATAATATAAAATTAAGGCAATGCCATGCAATTATGAACACTGTCGCGTACTGCCCATTATTATACGTCAATGCCACCTCTATCAAGTTAACCCCCCCACTATTGCAAAAAAATCCGCACTTATTAAAAAATTTAGTGCTATTTATGTGCTGTTGCTCTAGTCCGGATTTTGTTGCTCAAGCCGTTTAGCTGGAAACGGCGATCGAAATGGGGGGGGGGGCAGCTTGTCGTCATAATAAAAAACCTATATAGAGTGCTCAAATCCAAAAAACAAATACACCAGAATTTGTTGCTTTTTTGTTGCTCCAAGATAGCGTGAAAACATTTTTGAAATATAACGTTTTTTTAGAAAATACGGTAGGGGAGACCGGGGCTAACTCGACACCGGGGCAAACTTGACACTAGGCTTTTTGGCAATTTAAATCTATCGTAGAAACTTGCCTTTCCTATTGTAAATGCGTCTTTATGTGCCAGTACACGGAGAGAAATCGTTAGTAAACTTTACATAGTTGCGAAGTAAAATTTACTAAAACAGTTGTGCCGAACTGGCTAAGGTGTATTTACCAACAGGGTTAGGTAAAAATTACCGAACAAATTATATAATTTTTACTTGATTAGTTAAGCTGCAGTAGTTAGGTAAATTCTATTCAACTGTATAAGTAAGATTTACAAATTTTGATACGGTAATATAATATCGAACAATTATAATACTTGCAAATAATAATAATGTTTAAAAAAATTGATTTGTATGTTCATACAAGAATATATTTTAAAAATTAAATATTATTTAGATATAATTATTAAAATAGGTAAATAGATCATTAAAAATTTGTATAACAAAATTAATGGAAATTTTTTCAAATAAAAATGTATTTAATTCTTATATATGTTATAGTACATGTCTTGTGGCTACATAGTAGTTTGATATTTATTGAATTAAAAGACAAGCACTCAATTGCGGCAAGTCTTTTAATTTTTTAACAATTCTTAAATCGCGAAAAAGAGAGGAAGAAAAAGAACTCGCTCGATGCACCGTTGCGTTCATCGACGCGTCTCGCGAACGGACGATCAGGTAGTAGACGGGGGAGGGAAGGAGGGCCGCGGAAGCACGCCGTCGCGGATTTTCGGACGGGTCGCCGACACTCTCGACACTAGTCACACGCCCCAGATAAGGGGGAAGGTAGAGAAGTAAATAAAGCACAACACACCAAACACCAAAGTATGCGGTGTGTCGCTCGTTTTTAAATCACCGCCGGTGCGGAGAGGAAAGAGTCACGCGCGAGACACGCGTGAAATCGCGCCGCACCGAAACGTATAGCCTCACCACCGCGATCTGCTCTCTCGCAACGCGCGCGCAAGCTCTCGTGGGCTCGCGACTCGCGACCCACTAACGGACACAGCTTTCTGAAACAATGCGCGGTCGCACTTATTCGCGACGGGCATCCGCACCACAGAACATATAATCGCACTCACTGACAACACCAGAGACCAGAGACGGAAGCCATTATGGGACCACGTATCACGTCATTCACGTCGACAAAAGAGAGTAGCGTTTCGCGGCGCGCGGGCGGCGGTGCGGCGGTCGCGCGGATCGCGCCTAATGTTATGACGCTAACATCGCGCGGTCGCGTGAAGATTAGCTTAACTTGCTAAGTAAATTTTACTCAACAGTAGTCCGGCGATTTTTACTTAATGTATTTGGTAAATTTTGCTTCACTTGTCAGTTACATTTTACTT